AAGGGTAAAAACATACCTGTCTTTTTATTACGATTACTAATTTGTGAGACATTTGCCTCCACGTATTCCAGCAGCAACCGACCCCAGGAGGCATGATGAGGATTGACATTACACCAGACCATATATTAGAAAAAATTGAGAGTTTTGGAAGTTCTATTGTAAGTGGGGCTAAATTTTCCTTGCGTGATGCACCTCACAATCAACCCCCAAGAGCTGGCAACAATGATTTTGTCTCATAAAGAGCTAGAAAATACTCCAACGACATTTATCCAAACTTACGTATCCAAGAAAAATATATTGTGCATGTGTTAAGGAGTGAAACCACTTTAATAGGTGATCAGCATAATCATGTTTTACTTTCAGAAATAGCATTCTACTGTGTATGTTCAAGGCTCAAGTCCAATAAAAGATGTCTGTTTAGTTACTAGGGAATAGCATCAGCCCCTGACCAAATGTCACCATTATATCTTTGTGGTAAACGTTCATAAATTTTAAGTTTATAAATACCGTTGATTTCACAAAGCACTCAGTCTGCCATTGAGATTGATTTGAATGTAATAGTTGAATGCTTCTATTAGAATCTTAACAAATCTGCAAATTTTAGTGGATCTTTGGTTTAAAAGGAAATCGCTGGGTTTCATCAAATTTTTGACACAAAGTTCTTTTCCCGTATCTAGTATGATTGACACGGTTGTGATTGCAAAATTGAATTGTGTGTGGCGCTTCCTGTGAGCAACCATTTACAGCTTAGGCAAAATAGTTAATACACTTCTGTCAAGGGACAATGTTGGGCTGTTTATTACTACTGCGTAGTGTGCATTGGGGAACTAAATATCAACAGTGATCTATTTTAGTCAACTAAGCTCATTTTTATTCATGATCAAACAGAAGAGAAATTTGTTCAGTTTCCTTCTGTTTGATTTGACAAAGAAAGCTAGCAGATGAAATTTATTGGGTTTATCAAATTTCAGTCATTGGGATATCATAATCTGGTGACAAATGCTTCTAATGATCACAACAGAGCAAATTACCTCCTTTTCTCAGTAAGCAGAAACTTGTTTTAGCACTGAAAGGAAAGAAACTAGGACAATTTCCATCTAATTTATCAGCACGTCAGAATTTTCTCTCACGTAGATTTAATAATGTTCCTCAAATTAAATAATGAAATATGGATATTTTATTTTAACCATAAATTCTCATACAATGATGGACTAATATGGCTGCTATTTCTTTGAACTGGATTTGATTGTAGCAGTTAGAAAATTGTTGTTGTTGAGTTCAGTGGGGTTTTGTGCAGAGCAGTATTACTGGAGGTGTACAAGGAGTTGAAATTGTTCCTTATATGTTCAACATCCTAAACCAGTTATATTAAAATTCTAGCATTCAATATGGGATTTAATGAGAAGGACAAATCACCATTTCTGGAATTGAGAATTAAAAGTTAAGAATGCTGGAACGACACAGCCAGTCAGGCAATATCTGAGGAGAAGAACCAAGCTAATATTTCAGGTTGTTGACTTTTCATCAGTTTTTATCCAAGATTTAATTTTGATTTATTAGCTGGTTGGAACAGCATTGTCAAGGTTTGGCTTTCATGTAAGTCATGGTCAGTATGCTGCAGTATTAAAAGTTAATTGAGAACCAAACACTAACCTGTTTTGTCAAATTGACATACTTGAAATGTAATTTTAGAACTCTATTTCTCTTTCAATTAAGGTCTTACAAATGTGATAATGGGTTACTCAGCATAATTTGCAGTACTCCTAGACATGTGTGAAGTAGAACAGCAATGATAAGTGAAGAGGCTTTGCTACCTCCTACAGGACTGATTTTGACTGACTTCTTAATAGGATTTACACTTAGAAGATTAATGAGAAATGTATTTATGGAGTTGTTTTTCCTTTGCTTTTTGGATTTAATCATTGAAGTTTTCTAACTTAGTGAAATGATCTGATTGACAGAGTAAGATTGCGCAACACTTGCTACTGAACAAAGAGCATTTGTTTTTGTTACCATAATGACCACATATTCCTGGAACAAGAAGTAGCAGTGTCATCAAACTACAGTACAAGTTCTTCCTTCCATGGCTGCACATCTCTGCAGTGCATCCATGACCACGTAAATTATATTTGGAATTTTAAAATAAAATGCAATGCATCTAGATACAGTTCTCAATTTTTATTTTCCCCTTTTTTTAACCAGTTGCATTAATTTTGTGTTTTTAATGGTTATTTAACAGGAGTAAAATTAGAATTAAATTGACTGTAAAGCAAATGGATGGTTTTTCTCCCCCCCTATTCAATTATGTGATCACAAAAGTTATTGAAAAACATGTGCAGAGCAGGAATACCTACCTGCCTTAATCATATTTACTTCTAAAACAAAAATAGACTTGTATAGAGGATTGATGTTTCATCTCTTATGGAGTAGCTTTAGAATTATTGACAAAATTTGTGCCTTGAGATGAGCGAAGAAATAATTTAATTTCAGAAACGAATATTGTTCTTAGAATTTTAGCATACAAACCCTCTGTATGCCACTCAGCCTCTCGTTTCACGGTTGTTTTGTGGAGAGGAACATTATGCATGTTACACTTCATAAAATTTTGCATGTATATTTGAGGTTCTTCTTTTGAAAGATCAATGCAGAAAGGATGAATCTTAAACTATGGAGCAAAGCAGTATCTGCATTAAAATTAATCACTTTTTTAAAAAGAATGGATTCAAGCAGATTGATTTGACAGCTTTTCTGCGCAGATAATAACAGCATTTACAAGGTGAGCAAGGTTACATTTCAGGAATATTTCATCATTCATTCTTCATCTTTTGAAAGTGTAGAAGTAATTGTTGTAATTGAATCTGTGTCTGTTTGAATGGCCAATTTAAATTCCTTAATTGATTAAATGTGATTTTCAGTTAGAGATTTTTTATGCACAGTGAAATCTGTTGACTTCCTAACTCTAAATACACTTTGATGGTTAGCGGTACCATAGAGGTGGGACTTGGCAAAGAACACACTAGATTGTCTACTGGTCTCATTCTGATTTCCAGTGATGATGAATTTTGGGCGAGAGATGTCATTGCAAAGAAGATCTTCCCAACAGAGGCTAAGCTTGGAATTGAAATGGAGGTGGCCACCCAGTGGCATGTTGGGGATACAACGGCACCTCTTCACTGACATCCCAGCACAGACCTACTGGGAAGCAATAGGATTTTTTTTACCTTTTTACCATTTTACCATCCGACAGAGAACAACTCCATTATGATGTGCCCTTGAGGTCTGCCTCCCTGCCTTAGCAGTGTCCATCTATCTTGGTGGGGCTACAAGCCAGTTTTAACAGCAGACCCTGTGATTGGACCTCTCACTTCATTGGCCCACCCATCATCCTTAATTGATAGAGCACTAAGGAACAACTTCTTACCTTGCTGAAACAGACAGATTATAAGCAATGTTGCATCATAGTCACTTTGACGTCCCAACAATCTTGGCAAAATTCAGCCCTTTGTTTTGTTGTGTACTATTTGTAAATGTCTGAGTCATAGATCTAGATATCATTCATTAAGTAACAACAAAAGTGAAAAAGAGTTGTTTAATAATTAAGGATTGCTTTGGTTTTAACTGAGCCTTACAGTTCATGCTGAGAGTGTAAAGAAAAATGCATGTTTGAAACAAGTGCTGTTTCTTTAATAATGGCTTAGGTGAATCATCAACATTGTAAAATTGGATTGAATGTGCTTAGGATTCATTTTAATGAAAGCTTCTAAATTCTGCACTTGGTTTTGCTCAATACATCTTGGTAACAAAAAGGATTACAGAACAAATTAAGAAGTTGTGCACATTTCTACAGCAGAGTTATTCTGTTTAAATTACTTGGTGCTCGCTTTTATTAGAGAAGCAAATTATTCTAACCAAAAGAAGAAATCATGGAAACTGCACTTGCTTGCTGAACAACTCCGAGGTAGAAAAGTTAGCTTCTTGCATAGTATACGTTATTTTTTGATAAGTGCTTAGCTTCCTTATTTCTGGTTGTGTAACAATCAGTTGGTATTCAGCAAAATATATGACATGTTCATGGGAGTATGGATTAGTTTAAAAATAGTTTGTGTACCATATTACTGCATAGATTGTCGTATACAATTCATCCAAAATATCTAGCCACCTAAGATCTAGCACCTACACCAGTCCTATGTGAATATTGTTTTCTAATGAGTGGGGATGTACAGTTTTAATTGATATCTTTAAGTTTAATTTTGGTATGCTTATTAACAATACATTTAACCTCACCAGAATTTAATTGAAGTTTCTTTGCACGAGTATGTTTCAGTGCTTCCAATTTGAAATAATAATGCAGTGGCACGGTCACTTCAAATTTTCTTGAAAAAGCTGATCAATGTGTAGTTTCGAATTTGCATGTGAAATTTTCTGTGGAAATACTTTTTGACCAATGCTTGAATCTGTAATAGGTCAACTGCACTAGCATATGAAAACTTAATGTTGCTAAACAATAATACTTGAAGTTGTTCTTTATCTTTTTGGCTAAGTTTTTTTTTGAACACTAATGAATGAGTATTATAACATTTGTCATCATTTTTTTGAGATTTGAATATCTTCATAAGAATGATATCTCAATATGTAAAGCCACAGTGATAAAATGCATAACCTTCTACAGTTTAAGTTGACCAAATTGATATTACTTTCAAAATAGGTTATGCTAAAAATTTTAATGCTGTTTATGTCAGTTGTACTGATAAGCCTATTTTTAAATTCATCACCCTTGCTCTTTAATGTTAAAATTATTATAAGCTTCCAGTGAGTTGGAATTATAATTAGCATAGCTGAAAACTTAACATGGCAAAATCTAATAGCCTCATAATGTGAGATGCAATGTTTTATGAATTGTACCATGTTTTAAGTATACTGTAGGAACATAACATTAAAGATTATTTCCTGTCAGAACTTATTACATACTTTAATATAAATACTACTTCTGACTAATTTAGCAGCCACAACTGAAGAACCTGAGGTAGTCCCTGACCCTATCAAGCAAACTGATCGGGTAGTGAAAATAGCTGGAATCAGTGCTGGAGTTCTGGTTTTCATCCTCCTCCTCCTGGTTGTGGTAATGATCGTCAAGAAAAGGTACAATATTGTTTGTATATCTAGAATGAATGCAGCTACTAATTGACTTGTTTCATAAAATCTATTACGCATTTTTGAAGCAGTTTTAGGTAGTTGGATGATAATTGCACTTTATAACAATGTTTGTCTGTTTTAACAACACATCTAATTACTTTATGTAGTAATACCATATAACCAAAGAAAAACTAACAAGAATGCATACAGCTTAAATATTTTATTTTAAGGAAAACGTGGCTAATGCTCATTTCAAATCTACACAAGGATGTAGACTCAGTCAGTTCTTGAGATCTAAATTATATGTATCATGAACTGGGTAAATCTTTTGATCCCAAGTTCTGAAACTAGTTTCACCTCAAACATTTGTACCTGTTTCCCAACCAGCATGGCTTATTGAAGTTGTAAAAAGCCTAGTGATAACCCAAGTTTTCAGACACAACAATTTTTTGAAGTTATATTGCTGATGGGAAACTCTGCCTGGAATTATGAAATTTTCTAACCATTGACACTAACTGAATTTCTAATAACCCCTCTGGTTGGTAAAACTGCCCAGCTGAAGGCCATAGTTAGAAGTTAACACTGAAGCTTATTGAAAGTGAAACGTTTCTTGTGAACTCTGAAAGGAAACATCCCTCATTTATGTTGAGGTACCCGACACTTTTGCCTTTGTAAGTTGCAGAAATGTTGTGAGGAAATGTCTGATTTTCTTGAAAACTAAATGACTTGATGAAATATTTTGAGATTAAGCAGAGAAGGAGAAATAGTAGAGCTGTTGGCTTGACTCAACAACTGGGAGCATGACTGAATGACATGAATGTAGGAGGAAGCTTTATCAAATGGACTGTGAAGGAAGCGTGGTGGACATATTGTTTTGGAATAGAAAAGGAGATGAGTCAAAGCAAGGCAAAGGCCACTTAAAGACATTGTGAATTCTAAGTAGCGTCAAAAAGGCATTGATGATTTGACATAGTGGGTGGAATAGTGGCGGATCAATTTCAAAGTAGAGAGTTGTGCAGTGATTCATGTTTGTAGATCAAATGTAGAGTGCCAGTACAAAATAAGGCACGAGATTCTAAAGCAGAGGAATTTATGTATATATATATGCATAAGCCATTTGACGGTGTTGGGACAAATTGAGAGAGCAGGAAATAAAGCATAAATAAAGTAATAAAGCTTTACTTTATTAATAGGGAACAAGAGCAATGGGTTATGCTGGAGTTGCAAATAACACTGGTTCAGAGTCAACTTCAGTATTGCCTCTAGTCCTGGGCACCTCACTTCACAATGGATGTGAAGGCATCATTGGAGAAGGGGCAGTGAAGATTCACCAGGATGGATCCAGGGATGAGAAATGTAAATTACATAGATTGAAGAACTTGGGACTGTTTTCTTTGGAGAAAAGAAACTTGAGAAGAGATTTGACAGAGGTATTCAAAATCATTTCAGGAATCACTTAAGGGTCTGGGGAGATCAGTTCGAGAAAAGTTATTCTCATGAGTGAAAGGATCAAGAGCACAAAGGAACAGGTTTAAGGTAATTGGAAGAAGAGCCAATGGAGACAAGAGGAGAAACATTTTCTTGCAGCAGAATGTAGGGATCTGGAATACCTAAGAGTGTGATGGAGGTAGATTCATTTGAGGCATTTAAAAGGGAATTAGATAACTATCTGCAAAGGACGAATATGCAGAGTTAAAGGAAAAGGCCAGGGGCAATGAGGGATTGCTCATTTAAAGAGCTGGAGTAGATACAATGGCCTGAATATTTTTTTTTCTGTGCTGTAGTAAATCTGAACAAGTTTGGTGATGTGGGAAAAGATCAGGCTATAGATGGAAAATGGTTGTAGAGAGCAGATTGGAGACTGGGGCAAGATGACACAACAATGAGAGGGTCTAAAGTGAACATAGAAGCAATCATAAAGAGGTTACATTGTTCAAAAAGGATGTTTTGAATATTGTGACAGAGATGGGAAGGGAGAGTAAAAGGGGGCATTTTTCTTCTTGTCAACAAAATTGAATGTTGAAAATTACAATATTTGTCTGTCTGGTCATGTTTCCTGACGAACAGGTTGATTGATAGCTAACATAAATTGCAGGATGAGAGGCAAAACGCAGCTGAATTCATGTGCAAAGTAGGCTATCCAATACAGAGCAGTCAGATTCCAGGGAGGAGCAGGAGCAGTGTTAACATGTTAGAGTTTGAAAATCTACAAATCTGCATTGCAGCATCTGAACTATTGTAAACCATAGATTTGAAACTGACCCTGTCAGAGATCCTAGGATCAGCGATCTAAATGTGTAAGGCACTAACAGGAAATGCCACACAAGCATAGGAACAGGGGTAGGTCATTTGACCCCTTAGGTCTGTTCTGCTATACATTAAGGTCAGGTCTGATCTGCAAGCTAACTGTATAAAGCTGTCTTCACACTTTGTATGTCTTAATATCTTTGGTTGGCAAAAACATATCAATCTCCGATTGAAAGAAAACAAGTTATCTAGCATCAGATGTCAAACTGTTGCCACCCTTTAGGTCTTTACTTGTTTTCCTCCTGAAAAGTTGGCTAATGGTTTAGACTACGCCTCCTAGTTCTCATCTTGCCAAAAAGGAGAAATAGCTCCTTCTGTCAGGTTTATCAATTTACTTTAATATCTTGAAAGTAAATCATTCCTAATCTCCTAAATTGGAAGGGATGCAACCACTGCTCTTCGAGAACTTCCTGCGTAGGCAAAAGAAGTCTGAAGGTCCCACATGATTGAATAAATAGGCTGTGCACAATAAAAATATAAAAAAAGATTTTGAATGCAACCCTAGTTTGTGTAATGTCTCCGTGTAATTTAGTCCTTGCAAATCAGGAATCAGTCTGGTAAATCTACACCAAGCTCTCTCCAAGGCCATGACTTCTACTGTCTTGTACACTAATCCTCTTGCTATAAAAGCCAGAATTTCACTAGCATTTACTGGTATTTTTTTGTACCTATTATGACCAGGTGAGGAGGAGTGATCAGCTCACTACTTTTTCAGCCCCTTTTGGTCAACTGCAACAAGTACTTTCTTTCTTAGTACGTAGTTATCATTTTTCAGTGAAGTTTTCAGTTGTTTTTCAGTGATAGAGACTGGAGTTTTATTACATTTTGAATCCAGGAAATGTAAGAAATATGACATCAAATGCCCCCATAAACACAGATAATAACGTTTTACGATAAAGATGTTAGGGAAAGATGTCTCGTATGGATAGGATAATAAAAGCTAATGCAGTTACAGATCTTAAGAGTCCCTTGAGTTTCAAAAGAAAAGAAATCTGAATCCAACTGCTTAGCTGTAGTCCTATTTCACCAGGAGTAGCCAAACTTGCCAATCACCTGATTTTCCCAGGAACAGTTTTCCAAGTCACTTTTTCACCAGCACTGGTTTCTGAGCCTGAGAGAGGGACCGGGGGGAGAAGAGCCTTCAGCATCCTTTAATATTGTTGGCTGATGTTACTTTTTCTGTCGTTGCTTGAAGCAAGCCACTGATTTATGGTTAATTTGTATATTCCAAGTCTAGATCATTGTCTTTTCAAACTGAACACTTAACAGGTAACCCTTCATCTCCACTATGTGCAAGTGTGAGTAAGACGAGAAATATAAATTTCTTCACACATCACTGGGTTTCAGTGCCTCCTAATTAAAATGGTTATTCTGTTGCAGCCAGTTTTGTATATTCTCCATGTGGGTTGCCTAGTCTTGTTAGGTAATGACACCAGCTATTTTGGGTCAGTTCTGTCCTTTATTAAAACCATTTTTAGTCCATGTAATTCTTGGGTATTCAAGTCAAATGATTAAAGTTGAATATTGATCATCCATTTTCACTATGATCATAGCACTGTTCGAGACATCTAAGTGGTGTCTAAGCCTCTCTAAATGTCCTGTCTTTCTAGTTTTTCCTCCTTTTGAAAAGTATCCTGAGTGAAAGTAAAATGATCTCTCATTGAAAACCATTTGTAGAAGTTGTCCACACTTACTTAATCTATCAATAGCTTTTACTAATTTTATGTTTCCATCTCCACTGCATACTATGCCACCTATCTTCGGGGCGTTAGCAAATTTGAACATGTGGGGCTTTCTATCCATCATCTGAGTTTTAAACACAGTAAATAGTTGAGGCCCCAACACAGACTCTTTCAAGCTACCACTAGTAGAATCATTGGGATATCTACCCATTATCCTTAAGTGCTATGTCTTATCACTCAGCCGAATCCTAACCAAGTCAATAATTTGCATTAAATTCAATGAGTTTTAATTATAGTTAACCATTTCTTGTCAGGATTTATGAAATGCCTTCTATGTGAACAACACCCATAGGCATGTCGAAATGATTCAGTTCAATCTTAATTACAGACACGAGTAATTTCCTGACTATAAATGTTAGGTTAACCACTCTATAAATTCTCTGGTCTTCCTCCCCACCTTGCCAAAATAGCAGAGAGATAGATTGGAAAATTCTGTTTAAAACATAGGTTCCTGAATATGGAGAACCTTGGAGATTGTAGTTAGTACATCTACGATGTTTTTTCTTTTCCTATGAAACCTTCATTTGGGAATCATCTTGACGTGAGAATGAACCACTTGTTAGTTATTTTCTTAATTGCATTTTCTTCATTTAGATAATTTTGATTTGATTTGACCTGATTTAATATTAGTTTCTTTGGGATGTCTGGCATTTTGACCTCTTTCTCTGGAAACGCTAATACAAAGTGACAATTCAGCGTGCTTGCCATTACCTCCCCTTCATTGAATTCTAGAATAATAATAATATATTTGTGTTCCTTTTGGTATGCCTTGCAAGTTTCTTTTCAGATTTCTGTTTTGTAGTTTGCACAATGTGCTAGCCATTTTTTATTACTCTTTATCTCTGGGTCGGTACTATTTTTTACATCTTTATATGAATTTACTTTTTAAGTTTTTGTAGTCTCTTACCTCTTTAAACATGCCAAAAAAAAGGAGCCCTTGTACCTCAGAGGTGTTCT